AAGCATTCCTAATCTTATGATAACTGGATCTGTATTGTTCTAAGCCAGTAGAGATACACGTATTCCAATGCTTTTACCTGAGTCTAAGACGTTTCTTGACTTGTTTATTTATAAATGGTGGACTGTTATTCGGTCTGTAGTATTACGGTCTACTCCGATATTAGTACTGCTCTTATAATTGACTTAATCCTATAATTGTAGATTTGTCATGATATAACTGCCTAATATATTAGATCTTACGTGGATGTCACATCATCGTCTACACTGACTCACTATATTGTAACAATTACCGATACATGATGGAGAACAAACTTAGGCTAGAGATAGAACAATATATTTATTATAAATAAAAGATGTAAGGTAACATTCAGCAGGGACCACGCCTGTATGGCCGAGCCATGCCATCCGATCAACTCGAATAAATTCAATTCATTCTTCCTGCCCTCTTCATCGTTAGGCATTTCTCCGTGTTAAGTGTTGAATGTCTATTTCGCAAATTGTCTCGTATTAGGGCCCAATGCCATATATATATATATATATATATATATATATATATATACCAGACAGCTCTAAACGATTTTAGGACAAAACTGTGTTAGAATAGAGAAGAGGACCGATGAATGTGTTAAACACCGACCATAAAGAAATCCGCAGATTGGAGAAGCAACGTGATCTTCTGTTGTGTGACGCTTGTAGTCGCGACAATACTGACATCTGATGAAAACCTGATATGTCTCTTGAAGATAGAATAAAAAGAGCTGAACCAGGAACCCGTCGACAAAACGGTGAGGAAAATCACGGATTAGTGGCTTTTCGGGTAGTCAGGTTTTTGAAGCGGATGCTATCAAGGCCTGCGTGGATAAACTGTTCTCCCTAGGTGATTTATATGCTAATGCTAGTAGTCTAACAAATAAATTCTATGAAGTGAAAGTTGTAGTGAACTACGTTTATCAAGAAAACGCGATTGATTTAGTGAAAACAGTTATTATTATAACCATTTGTACCAGGGATTGTTTTATTGTACTTTTTTGTTTGACTGCACAAAAGACATTCTAGTTTCCCTTGAATGTGACCTTGTGACAGGCACGTAGTTTTCCTGTAGTGGTGATCATAGTCAAACGCGACTCGACGCCACACCACAAAGTATTAGTGTACAAATTAGGCCCACTCATTGTGTCTGTGACATAAACTTGGATAGTCCATGACTTCGACATTGCTACAGAATTATCCGGATGCCACTACCTAACAAGTGATAGACATAAAAATTGTGAAGGAGGTGACGTCCTTTTATACATATTCGATAATATAAATATCCGCTCCTCTATTTGAGAATCCCATGAAGGTGAAACTTGTGAAGTCAGTAGCTGCGAGCTCACTATCGGACGTGGTACATTTATACTCGGTGTCATCTATCGTAGCACAATCTGCTTAGCTGATGACTCGGCTATGGAGTGTAAATAACAGATGCTTAATATTAGAAGACTTTAATGAACCCGATATTAGTTGAACTGAGATGACAACGGAAGGATCGATAAACTCCTTTGACAGTAGTTTCCTGATAGCAATAATGGGGCATGCATTAGTACAGCATGTATCCTAACCAATCCGTTTAGGTGCAAGCCGAGGTTCTTCTCTATCGGACTTGGTAATTAATCATGCGAGTGAGGATATTGTCAAGTTAAACAATCTTCCGCTGTTAGTGAACAGCGATTTCGCTGTTTTGTCATTCACGTTTAGAGCTGGTGACATGATATGCGATCAGGTTACACCCCGCCCAAATGTACGGAAAGCTAACATATCAGCCATTCAGGAGTGCACTGAATAGACAAATTGTTCAGTAAATACGTTCTCATCAGTTGAAGAATCATGGTCTACATTTAAAGACAAGTTTAGTTAAGTTACGTTCCCGTTCATACCGTACCTGGTGTCACTTAGACCTGTAGTGGAATTGGACCATAACCACACAATCCTCAAAGATGAACACGAGACTACTCGGATAATAATTATTCAATATTTAACGCAGAGAATACCTAGCGATGAAGAGGGCAGGAAGAATGAATTGAATTTATTCGAGTTGATCGGATGGCATGGCTCGGCCATACAGGCGTGATCCCTGCTGAATGTTACCTTACATCTTTTATTTATAATAAATATATTGTTCTATCTCTAGCCTAAGTTTGTTCTCCATCATGTATCGGTAATTGTTACAATATAGTGAGTCAGTGTAGACGATGATGTGACATCCACGTAAGATCTAATATATTAGGCAGTTATATCATGACAAATCTACAATTATAGGATTAAGTCAATTATAAGAGCAGTACTAATATCGGAGTAGACCGTAATACTACAGACCGAATAACAGTCCACCATTTATAAATAAACAAGTCAAGAAACGTCTTAGACTCAGGTAAAAGCATTGGAATACGTGTATCTCTACTGGCTTAGAACAATACAGATCCAGTTATCATAAGATTAGGAATGCTTGTACAGCCATAATAAGTAAGACTAGACGGTTATATGAAAAACAATTTGTTAGGGATTGTAATTATCCTCCGAAACGGTTATTCTCGTATATAAAACGGCGAACTCGGAGAAGCGTTGCAATTCTATCACTTTTGATGCAAGAAAATCCGTTAATACTGGCAAGAAATGATATCAAAAAAGCCTCGGCTTTATCGGAATATTTCAGTAGTGTTTTTTGTCAGTAATGAAGAACGACCAACAATTCATTATGATTGAGGCGGCTTGTTGATGGACCCTGTAGTAATTGAGAAAGGAAATGTCTTAAGGCTACTTCAGCATATCAAACCTGATAAGTCCAGTGGTCCTGATGATATTCATCCTAGGATTATGAAAGCCATATCAGATGTAATTGTTGAACCCTTAGCAATACTCTTTGATATGTCACTGAAGCAGTTCGAACTGCCAGAGGCTGGAAAGACGCGACAATTAGTCCGGTGTATAAGGCTGGGAGTAGAGACTTATTTGGTGACTGTTGGCCCGTCAGCTTAACTAGTTCAGTTGTAAAACCGATGGAAAAATTACCAGGATAGCTGTTATAAACTATGTGGAAAGGCATAATCTTTTATCCAGAGAAAAACGCGTTTCGTAGGGGCCTATCATGTTTGACAAATCTCCTCATTGCAAGAGAAGATTGGGCTGCTGCAAAAGATCGGAATATTCCTGTAGATGTGATTTTCATAGATCCAAGTACAGCCTTAGATAATGCTGGTCTGAAATCCGAACGGGAATGTCTTGGAATCCGTTATACAGTCATAAATTTGATATGTGATTTTCTCCATGACGGAAAGCAAAAGGCAAGGGAAAATGAAGCTCTCTTCTTGTGGGAATCTGTAAAACGTTGATTTCCCCAATGCGAAAATCTCGGTCCTCTTCTCTTTTCACTTTATGTAAATGAAATACCAACTGTAGCAAAATCATCCGTTCTACTCTTCGCTGATGACGTAAACATTTGGAGACCCATACATAGTATGTCGGATAGGATAGTATTACAGGACGATCTTAGCTCATTGGTGGCATGGTTGGGCAGGTGGTCACTAGAAGTAAATCCTAATAAGAGTGTAGTGATCTAGTTAAATAACTCTGATGAATCATATGACTATACACTACGTGGATTCGTGCTACTCAAAGCAAGAAACTATAAAGATTTAGGAGTCATATTAAGCAATGATCTCAAAACGACTAGTCACTGTGAGGCTGCTGCTGTAAAAGGCTATAGGGTATTATGGTCAATTCGTAGGTCTTTCCAGTATTTAGATGATGAGATGTTTGGATTACTATACCCGATTTAAGTGTGACCAAATTTAGAATATGGGATTCAAGCAGTGAGTCCTTGTTTCAAGTATGAGGTGGATATGCTGGAACCAGTCAAACGGCGATGGGCTAAGATGGTAAAAGGTCTGTCAGTCCTATCTCATGAAGACGGACTGACACACCTCAAATTATTTCCGTTATCTTACCGTAGAATACGGGGTGATCTAATATTGACTTATCGTATGCTGAACAAAGAACATACGAAACTCAAAAAAACTTTCAATCAATATCAAATTCGGAATCTTCAATAAGAACGTTAAGGCAGGTCTACTGTATGGAGCTAAACTTGGAGAACTGCAACAACCACCATCAAGAAGGTACAAGTATTTATAAATGGTTGCCTACGCAAGATATTCAACATTCATTGGCCAAACACCATCAGCAACAGCCTTCTCGGGGAGAGAACAAATCAGCTTCCAGCTGAAGAAGAAATTAGGAAAAGACGATGGGAATGGATAGGATATACATTAAGCAAATCATCAAACTGCATCACAAGGCAAGTGCCAATTTGGAATCCTGAAGAGAAGTGGTAAAGAGGAAGGCTAAAGGACATATTACTTCGGAAAATAGAAGCAGATATGAAAAACATGAATAAAAACTGGAAAGAGCTGGAGAGGATTGCTTGGGACAGTGTTTGGTGGAGAATGCTGGTGAGCGGCCTATGCTCCTTCGTGAGGAGTAACAGGCATAAGTAAGTATACTGAACATTGACGTTGGTATTAAGACGTCTTATCTTTCACTTTCGTCTAGGACTGGTCATTTGAGAGGACATTCGAAGAAAGTTTAAAAAACTGAGATCAAATAACCTAAGTCTGGACTTTCGTTTCTCACACTGAATAATGAATTACTGAAATCCTCAGAACACGTAATATCAACACATTCTGCTGACATATTGAAAACGAGATTGGTCCTCCATAGTGTTACAAACTGCAAGTAATAATATAGGTTAATAGACCTCTTATTCTAATTACTGAAGACTAGACCACGGTTATTTATAGGATTAATTGTGTTTACCAGCAACTCAGTCTGATGACTGTCAACTATCGATCTGTTTATAAGTTCATTATTCTTCTCAATTAAAGGCTTTAGATGTGTTCTGAATGTAGTTAGATTTTGGTCAGATTGGACACCATGAGAAAAGGTATTGCAAACCTAACCAAATCGCCGCTTGCACTAAACTACTACGTTACTTTTGAGTAGACACTTCACTGTAGGACATCGTTTTTATGATATAGATTACCATAATCATAATCAACCTCTTAGTTTTACGTGATCCAATATATTAGTTTTCTTCTTTCTGGTTTATAAGGATTTAAGCGCCATTTTCTCTCGAAATATGATTTTAGGTTATAATCAATTGGTGACTTTGTAGTAGAAGTATATTGTTCAACCGTCGAATTAAATAAGGTCTCTGTGAAAACTTTAGGAGTTTTATTTCAATGTTTGTACAAGTAATTAATGGGGCATGTGACAGCGTTCTATTTGCTAGTGCTCGGACATCTTAAGTTCAATCCTACCTATTTCGATTTGCGATTATGTTCATTATCAGTAGTCTTTATAAAACGATTTCTACAAGGTCTCCATCTGCGCCGTACCTTTTAAGAAGCCACATGAAATGTACAAAAATCAATCGCAAACAAGGATCTGTCAATTTTTCTTCAAGTATTTAATTTTATAATGGTGTTTTATTCGTTCTCTGCATTGTTTTCTAAACGGATTTTTCGGCCTAATCAGTGTTTTGCTTTAAACTTTAAAAAATTAATAACTCAATGTTACAGGTCTCCCTTAAGATTCTTGGTCACAAACCACTATTATTTAACTATATTTCTTTAAGTTTTTGTCATCTCTTGATATCTTGACCATGTCATGTTCTTGTTTTCTGATTGCAGAATGCCAAAAGGTTTAGTAGAATGTTTGGTTAAAATAACTGAGATATGTCTAAACGCCCAGTGCGCTCACATACGATTTCCAAACCATGCAAGATACAAGTAAGTTTTTTAAAGGGTAATAATGAAGTCTGCACATTTATCTAGTTTCTAATTTTCTTGTCTTATCTCGTTCTTAAAGTTAATGTATTTTGATGTGAAGATTCCTCGATTCTAAGTGATTGGTAACTAGTTCATTGATCTGATTAGTTTCAATTTTCCGAAACTAAAGACAGATTCATTCTTCAATCAAAAGTATTAAAAACTTTACTAATTGTCGGAAAGGAGTAAATATGTAATCAGCAGATTAGTAATATTTGTCAGCTAAAGCAGTTTAACCTATTAATATTTTAAATTGAAAACATATGTTAAGCCAAGTACTACCAAGTTCAGTGTATTGAAACCCAACAATTGATCAGATAGATAAACATGTACATCAGTATATTTGACACGTTTTTTCATAAAAAATGTTCATGTGCACTCTTTTTTATCCTTCTCATCAAGCCGTATCAATCCTACTTGGTTGTCACAAGTAGCAAGTAACAGTTTTTCCGCCGTCATAACAAGTATTCATATCAGTGTTTTGTTCAGATGTAACACTATTTCTCCAAAAGTTCTACCTTTTCGTGTTAAATCTAATCAGAATTGATTTAAAAAACTAACAATCACTTTCTACCATTTGTATGAATTATTACCTACGTATATCGGGGAATAAACTAGGGACTTAGAAACTTGTTTATGCTAGCCTTTAGCGCTCTCAGACCTGTTCCGTTCATTCAGATTTTTGATCTCATTCGTCTTATGATCTACATGTGTAATTGGTAGAAATAATACCACAGAGTATCTGATCTTAACGAGCTAGTGAGTAATAATACAACTAAACTACCCTTCACTATATTGGTCCATCCCATTAAATGACCGCCTCTTATTCCTTTCTATAAACGTCAGTGTTAGCTTGGTATAAATGTCATCCCGCTTAAAATGTACACAAACCAAAAGATTTTTGTAAATAACCTCTGACCCCTGACAACGTATTTTTAAATCAGAATTGTTTGTGCAAAATTCTGTCAAAGATTTTAGGATCGGTGTGTCTTAGAAAATATCATGTCGAAACATTCTGCATTCGCTTTCAAATCCGTGGAGCCACTGTTTATGATCGAATATCTAACTTGTGTATCTCGAAATGAAGAACTATAGGATTTGGGGTGGTTCACTGTTGTCACATTGTTTTCAGACATTTATTTGTTAACAAATTCAGGACTCACTTTTTCATATAACGGGGATTTCTCATAAGAATTAGAGGACAAACAAATCCCTGATATTTACAGATCGTTTTATGCCATGAACTACTTCAGGCTAGTGATTCTCAGTACAGAAAAGTAGACAGATCAGATCAAAAGTAATGTAGTATTATCACTTTATCCAAGTTTAGCAAGTATCAACTATTAGTTAAAAAATGAATTCTGGATCGGACATTTACCTCTTAGTTTATTACTTTGAAGGTGGTGTTTCATAAGCTTATAGTGCTTGTTAAGTTTTTTTTATCAAATAAATAGATTCAGAAAATATGTGTTCGGGCTTTTCGTGTCCAAGTAATCACTAAAAGTAACATTCCCAAAAGAGATAAAGTTTATTAGGAAATATTGTTTTTTTGTTTTAAAGTTGGTAAACACCCATCATTTCTGAACTAAATAAATTTTGTTTCACGATTACCACTTTGCGTTGAGGTTTTTACTCGATCAATATAATAGGTGAAATCTCAGCTTGTCAAACTATTTCCACCACAAAATAGTATACCTGGTAGAGTACAGAATTCATGTTGGTGTTACCTATTTTTTATGCGCTTTCAGTATACTATGTTTTTTGCTTAAGAATTTAAAGCGCGTATTCTTATGGGAATCAGTTGATGTACTCTTAGATTTCTATTTATAGACGTAACCAAGTGTCACCATGTGCTTAGATATGGTAGGTGATGGTCGTTAGTATTGTGGATCTTTGCAATTAACTTTTCTCCAATCATATCTGTTGTATTATCGAGATGTTTCGTGTCAGATCGTGACTGTTAAAGATATTTTAAAATTCATTTCAACGGAATTCTTATTTCATTACTTCTTCATCTTAATTAGCCTAATACTCAGGTTACACTTGAACGGGTAATAGGTTTTACGTTGAACAATAACTGCGCAGTTGCATTCTCTGATAAAACTGGTCTTATTGCCCATGCTGCTGGGTAAGTTGCATTTTAGTATTTATATCGTTTATTTGATATATTTTCTGTAGATGTCATTCTGTAGCACAAATTTCATAAAGTTTGCAACAAATTTTACTTTTTGTAGTTAATAAATTTCATAGTTTGCCTAACTAGGGAGTGCGGTATTCAAATCAACTTTATTTTTATAAGATATAATAAAAGCCATAATATATCATTCTCTTTTGCTAAAAATTGTTTTTCATCACTTGTTGTAATTTCCATTGCCAATATGCACTCGTGTTTTTTATGGCATTTTCAGAGAAAGTATGTAAAGATAAAGCTTATATTCTGCTTCAAGTTGTTCGAGTTTGGGGATCAATTAGAAAACGCTTCAAATTTCAACCATCGATTACTGCTATCCTGTGAATAGAAGCTTGGATTATCCCATAACTTTCAGATTTAGGATGTTACTTTGTAGACTAACACTACATCGTATTTATAGTGTTTAGTACTATATCACGTCTAAAAGGACCAATTAAATTATTCTTCTTGCATCATTATCCACAAACTTGAACCTTGTCAGTTATCCGTTTGCAACCCTGGCCTTGAGCATATTTTGTCTATGGCTTACTCCATTCATCATATCTTTTTAGCTTATTTTTCTGACTATAAATAGTGAGTCACCTTCCATAAAGTGGTGTTGGTACGCTTTCCTCCCCCACTCTGCTTCGCTTCTCGTTTTAATGTCTGTCTGAGTAAACAAGTACATGAAATAAATGGATCAAACTTAATCCGTATTTAGATTTTAATTACCGCGGTCGCCTAAACAGTGTTAGTCTAAATGGAATATACGGAATTTAATATAAGACTTATGTTCATGGCTCATTTATCGTTTATCCGTTTATCGTTTCGCACCGCTAAAAGTATAACCATGAGTAGTTCTTTTTCAGTTCACTCCCACTTTAACCAATCGTGTTAAGCAGAAGTGAAGGACTTTTGAGTACTTTATGTTTTTTAATTCGTATACTTAATTAATCATGATCTGATAAGTAATTCAGGTATAGTATTATAGCCTAACATTTTCCAAACATGTAATTCCGTTGCACATAATCAAATACTCATTTAGTCGATCGATGGCTTTGTTTTGGTAAGTTTATTTGTCCAGGATTCTTGAAACCGTCGTGTAAGTGGAATTTCAGTCCAGTGAACTCAGTCATCTTAATATTTTATCGAATCAACCTATAACCATCTCAGGACACTAATATAACAACAGCTGATGATGAGTAAGCTCAACTGTCTTGTTCGAAATCGGTTTACAGTCCTATCAACACTAAGAAATTCATCACAGAAAATTAACACTATTCTTCCATCACACACTCTCAGGACTTTAAAAATGCTTATAATCGATGACATGCAGTTTAAAGCCATCTACTTTTGATGGTCATGTTTTGTATGTATTATACAACAATGAGTGAAGTGTTTTCTATGTAATCACCCTTTAAACGTCTGTAGTTGGATAATAGCATCAATTAATCTGAAAATTTATGTACATTAATGCTAATTGACAGAATAAAACATTAAAGTATTATGTTGTTCAGATGAATAATTTCTAAAATTATGTTCTTCAAACTATTGATTTAATAAAAATAATGTATACATTTGTAAATAGGTGTGTGACAGTTCTTCATTCATTTGAAAATGAACGACAACAATTTATACAAAGTCAAAGTCGTAAAGCCATTACAGCAGTGGATTTTAGTTCAGATGGGAAATATTTAGCCACAGGAGAAGTTAGTTAATTTATTTTGAATTAAAATAAATTTATAAAATTTCTGCATAATTGTACTTCACATTTTATAATTCAATCAATCCTGTTTTTTTATTGTTTTACTTCATACATTTGTAATGTGTTTCTCTATCATGTTTACATTTATAAAGTTAGGTAGAGAATTTCATTGATATAATAACTACTGGTTAAAAAATTGTAAGAGTTAAGTAGTTTGTAAGTAATTTGCATTACAAACCAACGTCATCTGAAAAATCATTGATTCCTAGAAAACACTACCCTAGTTTGATAAGAAATTGCTTTTAAACCCGACATAATCTTTCGGTTGGTTAGTCAGTCAGTCATACGCAACATAGAATCTGGCACATGTATACATCTGCTCCACTTTCTACACCCCATTAGCGAACCTCAATGAAATTGTCGAGGCAAGTAGAGATAGCAACATTATTGATGGTAATACAAAAATTAAAATTGAAAGATATTATTCAAGAAGGAAATATAGACCAGTGAAATAGTAGTGAAGCTAATAAGTTAGTTTAAAAGCTAAGGTTTTAAAGGAAGATAAACATTAAATGCACTTGTACCAACAATATATACGATATTTAAATCAATTAATAAATCTGGTTAGCCTTAAACTCAATAATAACTGTACTTTTATTGTTATATATCCTGTCATTGTCCTTTTTGACGTCTGTATGAGTTGTTTTAGTCTGTGGTGACTGAACTAGTTATATCAATCATATAATTCGAACTAGTTATAATTACAGTGCAGTCACTACTTATTTTATCCTTCGATTGTTATTATTATGTCACCCGAACTGGTAATTATGATTATTATTAATAATTAATGGCTTTATTCAATATTATATATTGGTACAATATAGAATTCTCAGCCCAGGGTATTTCAACAAGTTTCTTACACAAAAAAACAAACAAAGACAAAAAAAGGTTTAAAATTTCTTTAAAAAATCTGAAAAACTGTACAACTTTTCAAATTAGAGACATGTTAAGAGTGCAGGTTATTGACTAGGTTAACTCTAACAACCTGTTCGTCACAGAGTATATTTGCTAGGTAAGGTATTATACATATTTTATACTTTTGCTTGTGTGCATGGATTTTAATGTGATTACGTCTCGTTCTACCAGAAGATATACAAAGAGAAAGATATGAGTGAAGGGGATGGTTAGTATCTGATAAAATAACACCTGCTAGGAGTTCGAATGATTTTAAATGTCTATCCACAACCATATTAATTATGACCTCGAAAGATTCACCACACATCTTGCAAACTGCCTTCAGCACTCTCCGCAATACAGCAAAGTCTTTCCTCAAAAGCCCGGGAAAGAATAATGGAGAACAGTAAAGAATAATAGGTAATATACAAGAATTGACAAATTGTAAGAGTAAATGACGAGTAATCCCAAGTGCATGCAATCTCTTTATGTAGTAGGTCAGACAGAAAACCTTCTTTGATAACAATAAAACGTGGGAAGACCAATAGAGATCAGAGGAAAAGGTGATACCCAGATAATTGACCTTCGACACTGTGTTTATCAGAGTCTCCGATGGTACAAGCATTATGGGATCTCAAAATGGTTTTTAGGTGCCGTTCATGTCTCATGCTAAAGTTAACAGCTTGACATTTAGATGGATTAAGTATAAGACCATTACCAACAAACCAACAATCAATGCGAGACAAAAACTCATTGATTTCTATGGGGTGTAAAGAGGAAGAGATAGGCATACATACAATGAGATCATCCGCATATTTCACAGAAGTGTTTTCTGTGGAAGATGGCAGATCATGAAGAAAAAAAGAAAAGGTGAAAGAACAGCTCCTTGTGGTACACTTTCATGAAACAGTAGAGACTCTGAACACTTTCCTCCAAACATAGTGTACTGTTCCCTTCCAGAGAAGTAGGAACAAAGCCAGTTGGTTATCCAGCTGTCAGTGTTGACGCTGATTAACTTGTTAAGTAAATGTTGTCTTGGTATGGAATCAAAAGCTGAAGTGTAGTCCAGAAAAGCACATCGAACATACTTCTTACCCTTTTCTAAGTTGAACACTATGTTGTGATGCAGCACAGCAACAGCATCTAAAGTGCTTCTTTTGTGTCTGTAAGCAAACTTATATGGATCAATATAATCTTTTATCGCAGGCTGAAGTGGAAGTATTAATAATTTTCCATGGTTTTGAGGAAGGGTGTAGTTATTGCAACAGGTCTAAATTTTACATTCTTATCACCAGATGCTTTCTTGGGTACAGGAATTATCTTCATCTTTCTCCACATTTTTGGTATGAGATTAGATGAGAAGGATTTGTTAAAGATAGTAGTAAACGGATGACATAGGACGTCAGCACACTTTTTAAAAATGATGTTTGGGATACCATCAGGTCCCAAACATCGAGATGAATTCAGCGACTGGAGGCATCTTCGTACATCAGTTTCAGTAAAAGTAGGAACACAGCTATTATTTAAACCTGCGGATGAAGGGAGCATTACGTCAGATGATTGACGTACAATAGACTTATTTAAGTCACAAACATTCAGCTGGTCATCGCTCCTAATCTGTTTGTCACCTGTAGGTTCTTTAAAGTTTCCATATACTTGAAGAGTTTTTGAATAAACATAGTGTTGATGGAGAGTTTTCTCACATCAGATCCACTTGTGCACACTCACAACCTTTATCTTAACACATTTTCTCCCATTTTTAACATCAAATGTCTCGTGCGCACTATAGCAAATCTTTCTTTCAACATTGCCAATATGATTGGATGACCTTTTTAGTATACAGTTAACCGGGAAACCATATACTTATTTATATTCGTCAATTATGATATTCGATTATATTTCCTTGAAAAAGCTTGAGTCGGATTGCCGAGCGAAACGTTATATTTACTCAGTCGCTGAGATTTTCAGGACTATGATTTTTTTCTTTTGTGTCTTAGATTGATTCGGGGCCCGATTACTGTGAAATTACTCGTTCGAGTTTAGACGAAAGATCTTATACCCTAAAACTCAGTCTTTATAAACTCATTGAGTTTTTAATTATAGGGGTATTAGTCATCATAACTAAAGGTCAACTGAAATTGATTTTGACTTGGTTCAGTTCAACTTTCATATCAATTAAGTTGAGTGGAAATTCACATTCGTTGCTTTGTGTAAAGCAAATATTGTCATTTCATCATTTATATTCCTAAAATATCATTTCCCGTAGTTTAGATAATATATTTTTTATGTACTATGAAAATTACTAAGATACCATACATATATACACCATATATATACCATACATATATACTTAGATACGATGCATGGATATGTGTTGATTGTATATATATTTGAATTGTGAAAAGTACACAGTCATAATCGGTTTGAAATCCTGGGTTTTTCCTGCTTAGTTGACTTTAGCGGTTGTACATTTCAGTACTGAATGTCTGATATTTGTTTCGTGATTTTTGTTTTATTATCAATGAACTTTATTTCATATTTTTAGTGTTCCTTTTGTAGCCTTAAATCTGTACTTTGCATTTTTCTCGCATTGGTTTAGATTTTAATGGATAAATGACCTTGAACTAAAATTATTCCTTCAATACTATTGACCATAGTAATGATCTTTCTAATGCTTACAACAGTTATAATAAATAAACGTATGTATATCACTTTTCAATAATTTCTAGTCTTCAGAAATCGTTTTGTTCTGTATAATACGTATCTTAAGATATTTTCTTCAATATTGAATGGAGGTTTTTGCATAATTTTAAGATAATTTTAATCATGAAAAATTTGCACCATTGTATCTTGACACATGGTACTGTGTTAACTGTAAGAGTTGATGGTCCTGAGTAAATATTGTTAAGATGTTTCAAAGTAGGATGACACCAATGCATAATGGAAATTTACCGTACACTTGCTATTGTTTATTACTGTTTTCTTGATAATTAGGAGCACCTGTTACTGATAACCATGCTGGTGTATAACTTTCTAGCAATGCCTTCTAAATCTTACATTTTGATGGGTTGACCAATGTTTATATCAGACTTTAAGTGTCTTGAAAATGATGTTCAATCAGTTAACAAAGTATTTGTAATCCGTGTTGTATACGTTTGATAACGACTAGTTTTGTTATTCAAGCATGTGACCATCGCCTTCATGGAGTATTATAAGTTTGCTGGATCCAATTTATCAGGCTGATGAAGTTATTTCTTAATGAATTTCGTTAACAATGCGAAAACAATACTTTTTGAACATTGCTACTACATAGTATTTTTTAATATCTGTTTTATATTTGTTTCTAGTTTATTAAAGATTTATTTTCTAAACATTATTATATGAGTCGTTTTAAAGATTTTTTTATAGGTTTTAAAATTATTGTTTTATATTCTTGAAGTCACAGATGAACTCAAATGAAGCATTTACTGCACTAAGTCTAGTATTTCTTCATTGTTCGTATATTATTAGGATTTCAGAAGAACACATTATACAAAATGGATTTATACTGGATTTAATTATGTATTCCTTATAACCTTTGGATTATATTTCAGACAGTTTTCCACTGCTCTCTGTACGCTTTATTATATAATCATAAAATAGTGGTTTGTTAGTTCCAAATAGCCCCCGTTATGTCAAAAAAATCAAATATTTCTTGTCACGTATAAAAGTAAATTATATTTGAACGTTTACAAAAGTGGTTAACTTTGTCCGAATGAATTTCTTCATTTTATAGCTTAATAATTATGTGACGTTATTCAAATATTGCTTTACTGTTGTATGTAAGCAAACTTTAGTTGCGTTCTTTTCTCACAGAAGTGATTTATTTCATTTTTAGTTTAGTTCACAAATATGTGTTTTCATTCGTATATTTCTTTTTTTTAAAAATACTTTTGTCGTTGTATAGAAGTTTATCAAAAAGTTATCACTCAGTCAGTATAAAAGTTAATCAACTTTTGCCTTTCGGGATCCAGTTGTTGGATTGAGTGATTAAAAAAGCGAGAAACATATATAGTCAGAGTGATATATGATTTGTAGTGAGATCAGATAACCTTAAACTGAATTATCATGATCAGTAGCCTTTTTCCTTCTATATTCATAACTAATTTAAATGAAAGGAATGAAGTCTTGGCTAAAAGGTTTATTAGACTCGTGATAAGAAAAATTCAGTTACAAATATGCCTGTGTATAAGTATATATTCTTGAGAATTGAACATAAAAAAACATAATAAGAGATCAACATAGAGAGATTTAAGAAAAAGAAAATATTTCTAGATTATGATCTGACTATAGCCAACACAGAAAAATCTGTAGTTGTAGTGTGTAAAGCTTATTTATTAATCATTAAAACCTTATGATATCAAAATATGACTGTTATAATAACGCCTGTATAGTATTGTGTAGACTATTCTATTTTATAATTTTTCACCATAAATCATTATATAGATAGATGAGCTTATGTTTACAGTCGTTCTACCATTTTTATCTTATGCTGGGTACTGTAGAAATACGTGTTTGTATTTTTTTTCATTAATTTCAATGTATCGTTAAATAAGTTTATATTTAATGATTGGTGGTTTTGATGATGCACAATGCATTGGTTTGAACGTAACCAGTTGTTGTCAAATATAGTCATATGTAGTAATGATAAGTGATACTAATCACCATTCTAACTCACTGTTTTAGTGAATCATACTTATTTATTCATTTGTTTGTTTCTATGTTATCGTCAGTCCATTTAATGAAATGATTAACTATGGTTTGATTTTTACTTTTAATGTAAATATGCATTATATTTATCTATCATATTTAAATAATTTTTATTGTTTGAATATAATGACATAAATTAACCCGGTGATTTACAAGTTAAATCTTAGACTATAAATTGCCGTCTGATATAGACAGACTACTGTTTTATTCTTATTCTCCATTGTCTTAATGTTTTGCAAATTTTATGCGGGTAACATATACAAATATTAGTGAGTTAATTTCAGTGAAATTAAACATCAGACCTAACAACTCAACAATCTTCATAACCCCCTATACTTATGAAAAAAAAAAGAAAATTAGATCACAGGTTTAAATTTATTGCATTTAATTGTCATGAATAGTCATTAGTAAAATTGCTAATCTTTTTTAAAAAAACGTATTGGTTATCTAGTTTTTAGGTTATTGCACAGAGCTCCTACTTTATTTTGTTCTGCTTATTTTTATGCTTTTTTCTCCCGTTCATAATCTTGTCTTATTAAATAAGAAATATATCTATAATTATATATGATATGTCATTATTTGTGTTGAGAAAATGCTTATTTCTTTATTGATGTGATTTTGTGTATCTTGATGGTAATTTTTAAAAATCGTAAACTGATATCGATTTGAAAATCAATGTAAAGCATGGCGGGACTTCAGACATATTTGTTCCTAGTTTAGAACTCTTTAATAACGAGAATGAACCACTTACAAACGGATGAAAACTGTGAATTTTAGGTCTCATTCGATATCCTCAAAATACCAAACCAAAATCCAACTGGTATGTAAGTTTAACTTCAGTCACCTGGCAATATAATGTTATCCTCAGCTACTGTCATTAATAGCTTACAGTTACAATCTTACCATAGCTGACTGAAATTTCTGGATTCAATATTACACTTCTTTGTTAATGTACACTACTTAAGAGTTGAAAACTGGAGTAGGAAAAGTACCTTATTGTTCATCGGTTTCCAATAATTCTTTCTGCTGGTATCAGTCCCTGTTGAAATTCATGGGTGTTTTTTCCTACTGGATTTCAAAATTAATTTTTTTTTTCACAAAAGGTAGGATATTTCTTAAATATCAATGCCAGTTATTTCATTGATATGCCAACATTAATCTAATTTACCCTAATGTATAACAGCAAATGGGTAGCTGTTTTTTCTCTTCTCAGATAAGAAGGTCTTCTGGAAAACCCTTTTCCCCTCATTTTAAAGTGTACAAAGTTAAAACTTATATTGATCCATTTCAAAATTAACCGTCATGATTATTTGATTAGTGTTATTTCTTTTTAGTAGACTGTTTTTCTTCGTCATAACTTTTTTTTCTTTATATTTAAGGCAACATTTCCAGGTCGAAAATTTCTTTACTTGTTTTTTTTTCAGTGTTGTATTGATTAAAATGATATTTTTCTTTCACATAGTTATTGTTAGTGTTATCGACTCCCACTGTAATATTATATCATAGATTTCGATTGATTAAAATGTTAATTTTCATGATTTAATTCTGTAGTAGATAATAATAATGACAGTGTCCTACTGAACTGTAATCAAAATCAGTAAAATTCCATTATGATGTCTTTTACAAAATGATAGTATATTATGAATGTCTTATATGTTTTAGCCACCTAGTAATCCTTTAAATGGTTCCATTATTGATATTCTAGACAAAGTTCTGATCAGTCTTTGTTGGTAGATGTTTATATTGTGCGAATTTCCTAGATACACCTGTTTTGTTACAAGTTCTTTCAATAAAATAGATGTACTATTAGTTGTAGTGGAATTCAGGCTGGAAATTTCGTCCCATTTGAAACTCGTCGGCTAAATGTGCCTAGATCCTGATGTTGACGTATACACTAAGAAAATCCTCATTCGATTTTTATATGCTAACAAAGATAGATCGGAATTCAGTTTTGAGCATATTCAACAAGGTAATTTAAACATCCTATCCACTGAACAAGTTTACTGGTTATCTGGTATCGGTAAGTCAGTGGATAACGTTAGCGTTTAAAGAGAAATATACTATTTTGAGAAAGTAACGAACAGTCATACTTTTTCAGTTATATATTAAAAATCTCCAACGTTTTGAAATATTTTCTATTTGAGTGGCAAACAACCTACATCTATACAACTTATTTTCTTCATGAATTTGAGTAAGGGGAGAACGGCATTTAAAACAGGGTGTTATAAACTCTTATTATATTAGGTGTTTTTTTTCAACTACTTGCAAATCTTATTCGGACTTAAGGTTAACGTGACTCGTAGCTCATGTATCACTATGTTATCCTTTAATCTGCATGAAGTTTGTAACTAACTGGCGAGATTCTTGCACATATAATGTAGTTATGTGTTTTTACTGTTAGTTTCTGAACAGATTATTTTTACTTTAGGAATTTGTATTATTTATTTGAAATAATCTTTTACCAAAGCATTGTCTTATACCTGTGTGACGAGAAATTCCATACTTTACCTATTCCAAATTGATGAGAGGCTATAACGAGTGGGTAAGCTTATATGGGCAAATGGGGGAGGGTGTAGAGTGGAAACAAAATAAATTCTGTCGTTTAAAGGTACACATGTTGCCAGAGAAACATTTTCTTTTTTGTGTATCGGTTTTTTCAATTTTGTCCATTTAAATTCATAATGATAAAATATTACTACCTACTTTGAAGTTTTTACTTTAGATCATTAAAATAATACAGGAATATTTTAAATAGTATTTCTTAACTTCAACTTTTGAAAAGATTGTAATAATCACAACCAAGTCATCTGTTTCAGTTCACCAATAAATATCCCGTGATTGATAAATTACTACAAAATAGCTGTTTTCTTCTTCACTGAATAGTTGTTTTAAGAATAATAAAACTGCACAAATAACTTATAAATTAGACTATTTTAAAATAGTTTTGACTGTCAGAGACTGAATTTTTTTTTTACAAAAAAGGTTTATTTTTTGTCAGCAATTTCTAATTCTAATCTTCCCATGACTGAGAATTTTGTTTTGCTTCGGCTATTAATATCTTCACTCACATATAGGAAATCATACACTTTCAAGCATCTTAGTTACACTACTCAACAAAAGCACCAAGTTATTTATTTTCATATGATTTATTGTTTATGAAAATCAATTATTCAAACATACCTTCTGAGTCGATTTATAGTTTCTTGTGTCATTCAATTGACATATTCGATTTGAATAAGATTTGTTGTTCTATCGTTGCATCAATTCTCTTAAACATCATTACCGTATAATCTTGAACAACATAACTCATTCATCTATTCAACTCGTAGTTAATTTGATTGTATTAGGGATAGTGATACTACTCAAATGCCCAAACCGAAGTAGGTATGCAATTGTTTCAACCGTTTACTTATTGATTGAGAGCTGAGTACTTTAATCACTAAGCTACCTCCCCGTGGGGGGACATCAACTTCCTCAGGATTGCTAATAACATTTTTAACGACAATTATCAATTAGTCCCAAACCGAGATTTGAAGTTCCCCACCGATTACTTACACCTGCGTAACACCAAACATATACCACAGCTATATCAATTAGTCACATTGCGATTCGACTGACTAGATTCGATCAGCGTTACAGTCTAGTCAATATGGAATTTCGTCTTTATTAAATGGTTAATTAAGATGCCTCCAAGTTACTTTTAACTTACAGCATAAGGTTCATTATAGTGGACAGGGGATTTTTACTAGAGCTTTTTTCCATACAGGGTGTTTTCTAAGTCATTTTTTCTGTATTTAAACTTTGTTCAAAGATGAAAGCAAAGTAATTTAACTACTTCTATAATGAACTGAATATAACAGTCTATTAGTTCAAATGTTTAAAAAAAAATCAGAATAGCTGACTAATAAGACGATGTATTTATTGGTTATTCCATTATATTGATCATTACCTGTTTAATCATAGTCTTAATAGTGTTCTTTCCCTAAATTATCATAATTTCTAGTCAGGTCATCAACCAATGGTTCGACTGTGGAATGTGTCAGATCATTGTCAGTTAGCTGAATTCGGTGGTCATCATTTTCGTGTCGTAGCTGTACGTTTCAGCCCGAACGATCAATATTTAGTTAGCGTCGGTAGTCAAGAAGATCATACTCTGTATGTATGGGATAGACAGAGTGGACAACGAGTAGCCAGCGCAAAAGTTACAAGTCGGGTAAATAATGATTTTTGTTTTTGACATATATGCTTTTTTACTATCGATTATTATTTCATAGCCTTTTGAAACTTCATATCAGAATCTCAATAGTAAGTGTTCAAATAAGCCAGCGTGTATTTTTAAATGTTTTTGCTAGTTGGACAGTAAATAAATCGGTTGCTGATAAGTTTGCTTAGTGAACACTCGATGCGATTTCGTAGCCTTCTCTAATTACCTGTTAGGACCCGAGTTTATACCCAGTAGATCAATTATTGCTTTATATGATGGAAAGAAAAGTCAATTTTCGATTGAATTACTCGTTATGAGTTTTATTCAATATGAGGATCATTCAGTGTAGTATTTGATTGTTTTTCCAGTATGATATTTTCTTCTGTATAATATACGATATTCTTACATTCACTTGACATGAACTATGCTCAGTAAGTGATTTGTTATAACTGAGTATGTGATTTAATCCTAATTATTAATCAAAATGGGTGTACAATCAATATATAAACCAGTGTATTTTAGACTATATTTGATTCGTCGTTGTCATAGTGTTTTGGGGCTAATAAATCTTCACTTATACCAGTCTTGTGTTCTTACTTTCGCATCGTGGGAATTGCCGAGTTCCCTCGTTCCGACTATAAGTGATCAGCGCTTGTGTTTTTACGGCACAACGTTACCTCAGGTTAAATCTACACGGTAAATTGAACACAAGAGAAAAGACGCAAGGTACAAAAAAACGCTTTATTCCAAGGTTAGTTTATATACAGAAAAACGAGAGTATTTATAGAGTTACGCACAACCTTTGGCTTCTGGAGATTTCTGTAACCACACTAAATATAGTAACGGTATGGGCAGATATTCTGTTAGAAACGTGGCACATGGTTCTTCAGTTTCTAGGTGTTTATGAGTAGCTTCTGTTCAACCCTTACTGGGTAAAGTGTTTCCAAGCGTTTTCTGAATCCCCTTGAACTTTTCCAATAAATACTATGGAACTCGTCAGCAGTTATTAATAGTGAGATTTCTTAAGAATTAATTAAATAGCTTTGTAATTTCTAAAACTTCTGCACTGATTAGGACTGTTGTCATATTTGAATTAATTGATCTCAGATATAAGTGTTTAAACAGTTTAAGTCTAACCAGTTGTGGTTTGCATACATATAAGTTTTATTGATTTTAATTTGTTAGATAATTTATTTATCGTTCATTTAGTTTGTTTGTCAAGGTTTATTAGATTTGAACAGTTCACTAGCGATTCGTAGCAAACCAAGGAGATCAGAACAACTTTCTAGCTAACTTTTAGTTCATTATGAATCCATTTTCAAGACACTGGACAATATTCAAACCTAGGATAATCAGCTTTGGCAGCGACTTGGTTGTAATTTAGTCGACCATTCTGTCAACTTCGGTCATTTTTTAATATAATGTGTTCTTCATTTAGTTTTACTGTATAGATAACTGTCTCAGCTGCGGATGTGGTTGGTGCCACACGTTCACAACATACATTAGTATTTGACAATATTCAATTTCTAATTAGATATGTAGCAACTCACAAAAGACAGATCCGTAAACGAAGCTTTAAGGTACATTGTGTGTTTGAGGGTCAATGATGTTACTCGACTGCCCGATCCGAAATAAGTGAATCAAGATTCGAAATCACAATTTAGTGAGTAAATGTTAAGCTTTCCAACCACTAAGCTATCGCTTCACGCATTCTAAAACCAGTCGGTAGTAAGTCGATCTAGGTGCTTTATTTATACGCAAGTAATAAGTAGCTTAGAAATCTCCTGAAAATGAATTAGTCAGAATTCGAATATTTCATTCAGTTGCTTTGTATCACCACGATTACTCCTCTTATTTAACTCGGTGGTCATTGATGAAGTTTTAATCAAATCATAAATGAGTGACTACGGGGTTTTCGTAAAGATTGTCGAATTTCATAGTTTGAATCAGAAACTGATCTCAGATAGATCATCAGTGAAAAAAAAACAGGGAACAGTAGGCAGCAGTTTCGTTTTGGCATGTAATTCCTTGGCAGCGTTCATCCTTAACCCTACCACTAGGGGTCGGACCCAAGACCTTTGATATTGTTAAGAAGTATATTGTTTCCCTCTGCCAAGACTCGGAGTGTAGGCAAAATAAATTTAGTACACGGTATGTATTAATAGTTTTCGAAGTTTTTTTATCGGCCTTTTTATTACTATACCCGCCATATTATCACTGCTTACTGTCTCCTTCCTTTTTATATTTCCCCACCAGAAAAAAAATACTGTCATTTTGTTTAATGCAGTTAATTTTTTAACGTTTCAGTTGGCATCAAGTCTTTTCTTGTGCTACGTTGGAATTATACATAAAGAGCTTTTTTTGCCTTTTTCTATGATGTAGGTATTTCTTAAGTTTGAGAAATATTTTCGTTAGGGCAAATAGTAAAAAAATGGAATCACATTAGTTTCCTGCACACATCCATTCCTCATACTGTCAACATTGTATATGACCGATTTTATGTAGGTTTCTGTTAATATCTAAAATCGTTGTGTTTCTTACCAATAATATCTTTTAGATTGTAAATCAGTCATATTAATTATTTCAGTTCAAACTGCTTTAGATTAGGAGTTCATCGCTAATACGAAACAGTCAAATTGGTGGTTATTGGATGAGAAAATGATACTTCTCGTCATCTAGTTGTCATAATAATGACCTTAGATGGACAAACCAATCAATGTATATGTATTTGCATAAATAAGGGAACTCCGAATATAAAAATCCATTTAGACTAGTTTTATTTCGGAATAAATAGAGCCGATCTGTAGAGTTACGAACTATTTGGAGATGTCTCATTTGTTCAGACATTTTAATTTTAAAGGAACAGATCACCAGTTCAGAACCCACGTTCTGTTTACCAAGGTTTTGTGACTAGTGCAGTTTCATTGTGCTTGAAGTGAAGCAGTTATCCACGAATAAGATCAGAAAATGGTTGCGCAGTATCATTGGTTGATTCAAGTTAGGCATGTACACTACCGGATGCCAACTCGGTGGTTTAAATGTTAGGCTCTCGCCGCTATATCTAAATGTCCAGCGTTAATTCCCCTGAGGTGGAACCATGGATGGATACCTCTGAGCAATTCTGTACTAGTGTGGTGTGAGCTACTTATATTGACATAAGTAGTATATGACGTGCGTTAAAAGGATGTAAGACCTGGCAGTAGAAAATGGAGAAGATCAAGAAACAAAGAGCAAGAACACAATGGAATTGGTAAGAAATCGCATGGACAATGAAATGGGAGACAATGGATTAGTGTTTGCAACGGAAACAGTACAGTTTGATATGATACATTGATAATTTGCAAATTGACGATTGACTTTATGGTATTCAGATTTTATTGAGATAGTCTGTAATTTTCGTGCTAAATAAATTCGATTGTCCCCACCCGTGTTCTTGTTCACTACATTTGGTGTCGCTGCCAACCGGGAGAGGAGGGGGGTGCTGTTCTGCGGACGCCGTTGCGGGCCTGGAGTTGAGGTGCCAGTTGGAGCAGTCTGGTGCGGAGAGGTGGCGTCTGGTGGAGTGTTCTGGCGGGGCGGCGTTGGCTGTAGCGGGTGCTGTCGGCGGAGAGGAGCGGTGGGACGCGCGGCTGCTGGGCGGACATCGGATGTAGATGGCTCGGCAGGCCGGTGGAGTGCGGGTGTTAAGCGTCCCAGGTGCCGGGTGGATGTCGGTCGTTGTTGCCCCGGCAAGTCGACGGAGCTATGGAAGTCAGCGCGCCACAGACTCGACATTTTGACGGAGAGCGCGGCACAGACTGCAGAGACGGAGAATGTTGCACGGCGAGCATGAACCACCACAAGGACGACTGCTTTAAAGGGGGGGAAGAGTGTGGTGTGAGCTACTTATATTGACATAAGTAGTATATGACGTGCGTTAAAAGGATGTAAGACCTGGCAGTAGAAAATGGAGAAGAGCAAGAACACAATGGAATTGGTAAGAAATCGCATGGACAATGAAATGGGAGACAATGGATTAGTGTTTGCAACGGAAACAGTACAGTTTGATATGATACATTGATAATTTGCAAATTGACGATTGACTTTATGGTATTCAGATTTTATTGAGATAGTCTGTAATTTTCGTGCTAAATAAATTCGATTGTCCCCACCCGTGTTCTTGTTCACTACACTAGGACGAAACGGCTGTCCGGGGCTTTCTGGTTTCGGAAGGTCAATTTGCATTCAGTCCATGATATGAACATTGAAGTTCAAAAATGGCATCAGGTGATTCTCAATGGTTCTGTCACTTGTTACTAATCTGCGATAAAATCCTCATGTCGGTGTAAAAACTGAATTATGTGTGATTGGTAGATGACATCAAAAGAAACTTCCATGTTGTCAAACATAGATTAGAGGCTGTTTGCATTACAGATGCGATAGCATTTTTTTATATCTCGAGACGTTACACCCAATTATTGATGAAATTTACGGTTCATCTAATTCATAAAACAGTACCTGTTCGGCATTTTAAGCAAACCTAATCGGTTCTAATTGCCATACTCCACATTAGCACAGTGAAAGAGATTTAATATCAGTAAAATCGAACAGTTGAACATATTAATATTAATAGTGACATGGAGTGGAAATTGAAAATATGAAAATACAGGGTAAACAAATAGGAGTGACGAATCAAAATAATTAATTAGTACATTATGTTCAAAACTTGGCAAAAGGTAACAAATAAATGCATCTTCAAAACGTCGGCTACTTTTAAGCTACATCACTTGAAGTTACCAACTATTAATTGTAGTAATATATGACCAACCGTTTTTATGACTTAAAATAACTATACATCCATGGTTTTTTGATAGATTTCTAGTTTTTATTTAATAATAATTTCTCCATTCTTTCCAGCTCTAGGATATCCGGCAATTGATTGCTTAGACATTATCTAGATTATTGAGATGATTGGGGAGTAATTGTAGCTGAGGACGAGGATATTAGCATTGTGTTACCTGAGTTGTATG